TTTTGATTTACACATAATTGCTTAAAAACAAAAATTATATTAAGGTCTTGCAAACTAAACAACAGTGCTCACAATCAAATAACCAAGCACTGGCAGAGATGTAACAAATTGGACTTTTGTGCCCCGCCAAATCCTATAATATTTTTATAACTAATAATGATCAAGTAAGAAGGTGTTCATTAATCACGTGATCAATTTTTTAAGGATTTTTGGACTCTCCTGTGTTGATATTCAAAGTTATCTACCCCCCGTGCTCCGCCAAACATCACGTGTCTATTTAGTTACGAAAAAAATGTAATTTTTTAACTTTTTTTTAAATGTTTGGATTTAAAAAAAAACAGATGAAAAATAAAAAAACGAGATATCTTACTATACCCCTCCATCCCAGACATAATATTTTGCAATTTTTGTTAAACCCCCTTTTCCTTTAAAAACTTTATGCGGTTATTGGACGCCCCCTAAATCTAATGTAATAGTTGCAACTATTTTAATAAATTTTTGCTTTTTTTTAATAAATATTTTTCACAGATTTTATGCATTGTTATACAATATTATTAAATATTGTCTTTTATTAAAGCTTAAAAGCTCAGCAGCATTAATAACGCATCTAGGCCAGCCGCCGGGAGCCCTAGTATGGCCCCATATAGTTCTTATTAATATAATATCAAAATGACGTGACTTGCATACCGTGAAAGCTTTATTGGGAAAATGAGGAAAACTAATATTATGTATCATAAAAGACCGAATATTTAATAACAGAAATCACATGTCTTAACGGGATCTTTCCTGTTAATAATTGAAAACCGTAGGAAAAAGTAACCTTTTCAAAATTTTTGATAATCATGCTTATGCATTCATTTATATACACTGGATAATGAGAAAATTGAATACAAAAAGTTTCAGTTTTTTTTGGATTTGAAATTTTTATTGCATTATGTGGGACATCTGGTATTTTATATGGTATATAAATAATATTGATATTTTGGTTTTAATTGTACAGAAATATTTTGAAAAAATATGATTTTAATCCGTTTACATATATATATCAAAATAAATTTTTAGAATTTTGAACGCATTTAATTTTTTAATATCACACCATAGAACAGGTGTTGAACATACCTTAACATAAATATAACGTATTTAATAAGTGTCAAATTTTGTTTTCAACATATTTACGAGATGTATTTTAAGATTCTGAACGAGAAAATCCAGCTCTCGAGGTTTTAAGAAAATAATAATCATTTAACATCAATCATCTTGGATAAGAGATATATTCAGGAAAATAAAAAATACGCACTTGTAAGCATATATATATATATATATATATATATATATATATATAAGGGTATAAAGGAAAAAAGAGGAAAAAATTACGTTTAGGCCTGGATATCAATAAGGTACTCCATACGAGCTGAATAACATACACCTTATATGAGAAAAGCTTTTGAAGAGCCAGATGTAATATAAGGAGCCTATTCTGCTCCTTTGGAATATATATATATATATATATATATATATATATCTTTTTATTAATATTTTATCCCCATTGATAATTAAGAATCAACGTCAATGGATATCGATTATAGTGACTGGGATATACGAGTAACACTATGATATTATTTATATATTTAGTTTAATATTTTTGATGATTTACAGATTTATTTAGGGTAAATATTTTTTTACCAGAATATATATTTTTTCTCCAAATAACATATTTTTTCAACTTCCCGTAGAGTAAGTTGTAGTAATCGTAAAAAAATCGAAAATGAATTTTTTTTTATATCTTTGCGTTTCAATGGTTTCTGAACATTTTGGCATACCTTAGAAATAATTGATGTGTGTGTATATATGTATGTATGTGTGTGTGTGTGCGGATACAAATTTTTGTCGACGATTTCGGGAACACGGTTCAACCGATTTCAATTATTCAAAAAACATTCGATTCCTATTGATAAGGAGACGTGCTAATTAGTTTTTGGCTAAAAGTTAATCATTTTTAAAAAAATAATTATTGGTACGGTAAGTTCCAGCAATTTGCCTTAAGGCACAACGCCATAAACTACTATTTTTATTTTTTTGTATTAACTTTGTAAACAAACCATTTGCTTGCAATTATTAAACAATACTCATAATTTCATGTTATTAGATTTAATGAAAGTTTACAAAGCACTGTACGTTCTTATATTTGTCCACAAAAATGTAAAATTACTTGGGAAGAAATTTTTATTCTTATTATCTCCTTCTATAATTCTAGATAATTTCATAATGTTAAAAGTTTGAAATTAGAATTTTATATCTAAGAACTATAAAAACTGATTCTTATAAATATTTCTATTTTAAATTGTTCAAATCAAAGATTGTTGATAAAAATTTGAAATTTTACTAATTTTATTATTTTTTTCAAATAAAACAAAGCCATAAAAACTGATTATTTAAGGCTATGACATAGTAGTGCTGTCACTAAAATTAATAAAACAACTCTTTGGAAATACATATTGCTACTATTCTTGAGATTATCAATCCTATAATTTATCCTGAATTTTATTATTATTGATAAAACATATATATAATAAATGGTTCTTATAGTTATTTTAGTAATTAATAAAACAATGTTTCCCTGTATGTTTACAACATTTTTTGCATTTCGATTCTTCCAAGTTGAAATATATTTCTAGTCTTTAAAAGTTTTTTTTAAAATGTTTTCTCCTAAACAAGTGGAAAAATGGAAACTCGAGTGTATAAAAAAACTCTTCAAAATATTTTTGTTTGCTTTTCATCATTATTTTTGAAGTAGGTCAGTTGTTCATTAATTAAAATATGCAAATACATGACAACTTACCTGTTGAATTATTTCATATTCAACTGTGTCAAACATCAAAAATAAAATTAATTAATACTATTAATTATGGAAAAAGATTTTTATCTTTATTAACTCCTTCCATAATTCTAGATAATTCCATGAAGTTAAAAGTATGAAATTAGAATTTCATATAAAAAAACTGCAAAAACTGATTTTGAAACCAACAAGCTCAAAATAAATATTACTAATAATTGTCAGTGAATGTTTAATGTGGTTTTAAAAAAAATGATTTTGAGAGCGTTTTCTAGTTCCTCTTATGAGTATGCCAGGTTTTCATTGTGACTATACTATATATATGATATACTAATTATTCCAAAAATTTATCTATCATATTGCAAATAAATGTAATTTGCGTTAACAAATTTTGAAAATTTGTTTTTAGAATAGAGAGAGTTGTTTTACTGCGTCACCATAAGGGATGATCAGCTCACATAAAGTCTTAAATTATTCCAGACCTTTGGTCCTTTTAGTTTTCAATAATAATTTACATTTAAATTGAGTCAGATCATATATGCATATTGTATATATATATACACACACACACACACATATATATATATATATATATATATATATATATATATATATCCAACTCTAATTATTTTGAAAAAGCAAGGCATTTCGATGAAATAATGAGAACTCCACACGTTTCATGTTTCATAGGTATTAACATAAAGTGGGTCAGTTCGTTAGTTTTCATTAGCGGTCTAGACAAGACTTTAATTAAAAGGCCGACACTTGGAAAGGACGAAAAGGATCTTGTATGAAATAATCTCTATTAATCGTATGAAGTCAGATTTTATCGCCAAAGGCTACAGGGAGAGAATTAAATCGAAAGTGAATATGAAAATGCTAACTTTACTAAAACCTTACCACCTGGTCCATCGACAATTTTGCTATCCTAACTATGTCTGATTAACTTCATAAACTATATCAATTAATATTATGATTATGATTAATATATTTAATATATTAATCAATTATTTAATTAATATATAATATTTCATATTTCTGCATAATCATATTCATTTCAAAAACACCCACTGCCAGTTAATAATATAACGAATTTAATTAAATAATTTCACAACTCAAATAAATGAAGAGCATTTGTTTGATTTCATGGAATAATATATAAACCGTGATGTATCTTTCACAAATGCTAATATTAGTGTTGCGATATGGAACTGTTAATTAATAGTAAAATATTTGTATAATATTACATTTAATTACACAAGGACTAGTTAGTAAATTTATTCCGCAGGATAACGGCATGTTAGCAATATCGAATGTATGCTAATCGGAGGCAGGATTTGCATATGCATTAATTATGTGGTGAGGGCGATTGATAATATAATATGTATATATATATATATATATATATATGTGTGTGTGTGTGTGTGTAGTACCAAGTACAATAAACTGAAGCAATTAGGGTATCAGCTTTATTAATCCACCAAGGTATCATCATTCAGTGTAACAACTAGAAAGCTTTTAGATATGTTTTATACAAAATAATTTAACATCAGACTACACTAATTAATACAAATATAACACCAAGCTATCAAAAATAGTATGTTTATATATGGCGATACTGAATGGGATATTTAACTCGTTGATGCATCTGATACAGTTTAACAATCAATAACGAAATATGTGCGCTGGTTTCCATCTTAATAACTAGATGTAACAAAATGTTGTTATAATGATTTTATTTATATATTTAGCACAGCAACACGAGATTATAGCTAGTAGTAAATAAAAATTTCACCCCTTACATTTTTAGTACATCTCTTTATAATCTCTATATATTTATAATTCAGTACTTTTCTATCACAAATAATGGTAAATCCTGCACCAATATGAAACATACATTAAAACACGTTCAGGAAAAACTATTTTTCATTCTAATCCATGATTTATTTTTATGAGAAAATCCAGGTTTTCTTGGTATATAAAGCAGAAGAAACCATAAATATTGTATAGTCTATAAAATGTGGTGTTTTCACTAAGAGAAAACCAGAGATTATCAAACATAAAGTTTATATTTATTTTTAATCTACAAAATTATACAACAATATAATTAAGTTATCATATATTATATAATAATCTCTTTTATTTTAAATTAATAATTATTTTCCAGTGTTTAGACAAGGAGATCCAGGACAGTGCTGGTATGCGGTCTTAGGAGGGTCAGTGGATGTAAAATTAATTCAACCTGATGTGGACCCTAAAGTGAGTCTTTTTAATATTTATAATTTTAGTGAAGAACTTAAAAATATATACAAAAATCTATACACAAGTGTGAAATCATTTAGAATCTAATTCCTCGTGTCTCAAAAAATATTTGGGTGGGTCGATTGGCTGAATTTTAATTTGGTCTATACTGTTTAATTTAGTATTTAAATATTTATAAATTCAGATTTATGTAAGGATTTTCTAAAAATGAGCGTTTTTTATAAAAAATCAAACCAAATATAAAGAATAACAAGTTTGCTAAAATTAATTTAAAACGAATAAATGGATATGAACATGACTAAAATGTTTAATAAAAACTCACAATCAGTCAAATTTGAAAGATTGTTTTGAAACGAATATATTGGTTATAAAATTTATGCAAAATATATACTAACGTTGATCCTTTAGTGATTTTTGTCTATATTTCTATTTTAAATTAATCAAATTAAAGATTCTTGATAAAAATATTGAAAATGAAATTAATTTATTATTTTGTACCAAAACTATAAAATAATGATACTGAATATTTAAGGGATATGAAATAGTAGTGCAGCCTCTAAAAATAATAAACTACTTATTTTGAATTATTTGCTCCGATTTTTGAGTTTATTGATTTTGGATATTATTATATAATGCAAATGCAAAAATACAAAAAATATTAAAAAATACAGAGAAACATTGTTTTTTATTCATTACTAAAATAGCCATATGTACAATTTAAACAATATAATTTCCATCAATAATATTATTGATAAAAATTAAATTTTTTAAATTGTACATATAACTATTTTAGTAATGAATAAAACAATGTTTCTCTGTATTTTATATTTTAACATTTTTTTCATTTTGTTTTTTCCGAGTTAAAATATATTTCTAGTCTTTAAAATTTTTTTTTAAATATTTTCTTCTACACAAGTGGAAAAATGGAAACTCGAGTGTATAAAAAAAACTCTTCAAAATAACTTTGTTTGCTTTTCATCATTATTTTTGAAGTAGGTCAGTTGTTCATTAATTAAAATATGCAAATACGTGACAACTTACCTGTTGAATTATTTTATATTCAACTGTATCAAAACATCAAAAATGAAATTAATTAAAACTGTTAATTATATATTTTGCTATCTAATTAATTTATATCAAATACTACCATTTTAGTAAAAATACGGGTTGTTTATTTCCATATTCATCTCTGAATATTTTCCACAAACAAGTATTATATCCTTCTTACCAAAACAATCATTATTTGGAAAAAGAAACATCTATTTCTAACCGAACATGATAGATCTTCAAATTCAAATTATCTCAGAATTTTCTATATGCCATTTTAAAATGTATTGTTATGAATATGAGATATGATAGAAAATATAAATATAAAGACAGCATCCATCACAACGAAATTATATTTACTTTGTAAAATGGGATATAATTGCATGTCATGTTGGAAATGACAGAACGAGAAAAGGGAAATTAAATAAAGTTTTCTGCAAAAATGTAAAAATTGAATATGAAAAGGTATGGTGATATGTTGGATTATTTTTAGTGACGTTCTTTTTATTGTACGGTTTATTTATTATTGACAGTTTGTTTTGTCTGAATATAAATTCATACAAAACTAAATAATTGTCACGATTTTTTTATATGATCAAGTTTCTAGGTACTGGGATATTGAAAATTTTATAAAAAATTGGAAAATTAGCATAAATTTAATCTAAATTGACTTATGAGTTTGATTATGCTGTCTTGATAATTCTGAGAGAACCAATATGCTAGTCTTCATCTAGTTACATCCAATGATTTCTGAATTTCTAAAATCGGTCCAACCGTTTTTGAGAAAACGTGAACAAAAGGTCCAAAGTCGGCTAACATATATATACATTACACCGCACGTACAATTTTCAAATTGGGTATCATTCGATTCAGAATAACTTGTCTTGTCAGAAGATATAAAATTATCAAATCAGTTTTTTTCGTGGTGTTTGAATGTTGTTCCAATTGAAACCGGCACGCCATTTTTGCACCTTACCTAAAACGATGCCTAGTTCCAGGTTGTGGTGCAAAAAGACGTACCGGTTTTGATTGGGACACTTTTTGATTTTCATTCGGTATTTGGATTTTCAGTGATGATTTTCAAATATATTGGTATTTTCATTATACAATTAAATGTGTTTTCTAGTAGTTTTGTTTACGTTATCTTGTAATTACAAGAAACCTTATAATTGGTAAAACTTATAAGGGCAGGATTATGTTTATTTTGTGATTCAAAGATCATATAAAGTACATTGTAGATGGTATTATCCCCCTACAAATTTCCCCGAAAAATATCCCCAAAAAATATCCCCAAAAAATATCCCCGAAAAATATCCCCGAAAAATATCCCCGAAAAATATCCCCAAAAAATATCCCCAAAAAATATCCCCGAAAAATATCCCCAAAAAATATCCCCGAAAAATATTCCCAAAAAATATCCCCAAAATATCCCAAAAATTTCCCCAAAAAATATCCCCAAAAAATATACCCGAAAATGGGGATATTTTTTGGGGATATTTTTCGGGGATATTTTCTGGGGATATTTTTTGGGGATATTTTTTGGGAAAATATCCCCGAAAAATATCCCCAAAAAATATCCCCAAAAAATATCCCCGAAAAATATCCCCGAAAAAAATCCCCGAAAAATATTCCCAAAAAATATCCCCGAAAAATATCCCTGAATAATATCCCCAAAAAATATCCCCATTTTCGGGGATATAATAATACTTTTTATATGTTTTACTTAAAAGAGTAGAAGATTTTCTAACAACAATATCCATAGATCCAGATAATTTGGTGCTCATAGCTATATAATTTTAATATATAATTAATACAAATAATATTTGTCATTACTGTAGGAGTAAAAGCTTTTTTGAAGTAAAACTTCTTTAGGCGCGACTAGGGAGTAAGTCTATGAAAATGCAACAGAAGTTGCTTAACGCCCGAACTGTTGGTCATTAGATCTCTAATCTAATCAGGAAAATATTTTTTCTTGTGTCCCGTACATAATTAAAATGAAAATAACAAAAGAAATTAAACCATTTGTGCCGTATAAGAAACGTAAGTTTATTGAGATAATTTCTATATTACTCGTAGTTTCTATAATTCTTAGAAGTCAATAAAATGGTGAATATTTTTATAGGCAAGACAAATATTACAGCTGCTCAAAGAATGAGATTGTATCGCCAGCAAAAAAGTAAAAAAAAGCAGTCAATGAATGTATGTTAATTTTAATTACATGAAGTTCTGCAAACACAATTATATGATGAGTGAAAATGTGAAGAAGAAACTTAACTCTGTTTTTTTTCTAGTAATTCAAAAGATTAAACTTCGTTTCTTCTGAAATACTAGTGCCATATATCACCAATTCCTTCCTCCAATAATACATTTTATTCCCATTCGATTTTCGAATCAATTCATCATAAAATTTATATTTCTCTCGATTCCGGTGCCTACATTCTTTCACTCTGCCCTCTTTTCTGATAGCTCTAGCTGCCTATAAATAAATAAAAGCCGTTTTTACTGGGTCGCCCCCGACACGGCAGATGTGCATCGATGCGGTAAAGTTGCGAAAACCGTTTTTGCACATTCGATGGAAAAAAAGTCTATAGATATTTACACAGACTCGGTAAATTCAACAACACTACGAAAATTTTTTTTATGTTATGATGGTGGAGAAAGGAAACACTCAGGAAACAGTAGGTGTCTTTATTGGTTTTTAAGAATGTAGACCTAATGGCCTGATATAAAATTTATTAGTTTCCGAAAATATTAGTTTTTATCATAATATATATATAATATATATATATATATATATATATATATAATATATATATATATATATATATATATATATTTATATTTATATATACTAGCATGCCCAGCCACGCTTTACTGCGACTTTTATTAAGATATACCTGATTGAAATATAAATCAGATGGACCACCAACATTTCAATACTATTTTTCAATTATTTGAGCCAAATAATTGTCATTTTAGGCATATCATTCATTTAGTTTTATATGAAATAACGTAGAACCATCTCCAAAAATTTTTTTTTTCATACAAATATCTGATTTTTGTCATTTCCATTCAATTGTTAATTTCCCGTAGAGTAAGTTATAGCAATCGCAAAAAAATCGAAAATGATATTTTTATATATCTCTACGTTTCAAAGGTTTCTGAATATTTTGGCATACCTTAGAAAAAATGGATGTATGTTTGTGTGTGTGTGTGTGCGGACACAAATTTTTGTCGACGATTTCGGGAACACCGATCAACCGATTTGAATGATTCAAAAAACATTAGATTCGTATTGGTAAGGAGACGTGATGATCAGTTATTAGGGGCAAAAAGTGCCAAAAACGGTTACTCAGTTTTTAAGAGATTGGAGCGTCTGATTTTAATAATTCAAGAATTATTTTACTTGTATTGACAATATGAAGAACTGATTAAATTTTTGGAAAGGCAGGTCCAGCGGTTATGGACTTTCAATGAAAATAAGCTAAATAATGTCATTTGGCGGTCAAAATTTTTATTGGACATATGTACATCAAATTATCAGACATTTTATAGAGATTTTAATAGTGTGTACACATTTTGTGTACACATTTTGTGTTCATTTTTTGGGTTTTGTACCAAGATTTTCAATTATGGCACGGGAAGTTCCACCAATTTGCTTTAAGGCACGATGCCATGCACCCCACTAGTTTATTTCTTTTAAAATAGTGAATGTTAAATTAATATATAGAAAATGCTCTAAATTGATATTGACTGTAAATTAAATGTAAAACTAGTTTTTGAATTAGAATTTGTTTCTTTTTGAATTACCAAAATTATTTGATTAATATTATATATCATAATAATTTGGTTTTAAATTGTGATTTCTATTATTTTTGTGAAGTTAATACAAATGAATACGGTAACCAAATCAAATCAAATCAAAAATTAATTTATCCCAAACTTTTCGAAAACATTTGCAAATGTCATTTCTTTTTTTTTAATTTAAATTCATAACTATATTGAGATGATCAATAATAACGATAATTTCAAAAAAAAAATAAAGAAGTGATATAAGGAAATTGAAGACAAAGAAGACTGAAGAGTTATATATATATATAGATATTATATTAATGAAATAGATATTATAGTCAAATGAAATGTATATATTATATGAAAACTGTTTTTCATAATCTCTCATACCAGGCACCTCTGTCTGACTGAGATATGAAAATTATGTATATATGTAAATGAATAAATAATAATAACAGTCAAAATTTATTGAATTTTTCAAAATTGTAATATTTTGGATAGATGAAGTTATTTATAATATTGTTTATAACCTAAGTTATAGTTACTATATTCTAAGATGCATATATTAGAATATGTTTGTTCCTTTTTTAAATTTATCATTAATATTTGATTTTTTTTAAATGTAATATCTTGCTTTTTTGCATTGTGATATAATATTTTGCTGACGTTGTCGTATCGGAATTATCATGTTAAGCAAATAAAATTCAGATCATAACTAGATGTATCTCAAAGTTTTCAGAAGCATTGACAACTATCATTTTAGAGTTTTTGTTTAAATCTACAACTATAAAAAATAATTGAAATTTCATTTGATTTTTAATATTGTCTCTAACTCAAGTTGGATATAAATGCACACGGAGAATAAAATGTAAAATTGGTTTGGTAATTGGTTCCCATGAAATTTATATATATATATATATATATATATATATATATATTTATATATATATACTTATATATTTAAATTGGTTATATTCAATTCAACCAATTCCATTCTGTATCCATCCCCATTCTCTAATAGCACAATAGTAGATACATATAGCTTCAGTGCATTTATTCAAGAGTCTAGTGTAGAATCTCATAAATGGCCTATATGGCCTGTTTTGCAACCCTCTCACAGCTCGATGGCAGTCAGTCCCCCGAAGGGCGATTGTTTCCCATAGTCTACCATCGACCCCCTCGACCCACTACCCTCCAACCACTACTCTTACGCTGCTACGCCGGGTTAACGCGGCGCTACGAGAATCGAGCACGTAGCACGTTGCGCGTAACGTCACCCCGGGCACGAGGGTAATAGTCGGAGAGCTGGTGGATAGTTTCTATCCAGGTGGATTAATTCTAATAACGAAAATCATCAAATAT